CCACAAGTTTTACTGCACTCTCTGGAATCAGCGACATTCAAGAATTACACCAGCAGGATTCCCACAAAATACATTTTCCCCAAAAGCATGATATATTTTTGTTCTGAATAACTCAGAACTGGGCTGAGGAACAGATTCACTTCATAAATGTATGTTTCTTTCAATTTCCATTTGTGGAGGGGAAAATAATCAAAGAATTTTAGCATGTGGTCCTTTAACAAGAAATTTTAACTTTATTCACAGGGAGGCAATTGGATGGCTTGCATGGGATATTCCCTGCAGCTTTCTAATACAAATAGATTTCCAAGGGCTAGATTCCACGATGTTTGACAACATCTTTGGAAGTGGTTCCAGTCTCCTCCAAGATGATACAGATGTCCTGTTTCTAGATTACAACTACACAACTGAAGCTGTCTTCCTGAGCCACTGCATGGCTGACCTATTTTCTATATGGACTTAGCTGAAACAATCAATGGGCATAGCCATGCGTGAAGTGCAAGGCATAGACAAACCATCCCAAGGGAGGGCTCCAGACAGCTCTGTTCCCCACAGCCCCTCACAGGAGCGCAGGTCTCCAGGCATTTCTCCCCTTGGCTGAGGACAGAGAAAAAGTGGCCTTGTCACTCAAGCAGGAACAGCAGAGCACTCTGTTCACAGGCAGATACATATGTATGGGAAGTAGAGACAGGGGCTCTCATGAAGGAAATGCCCTCTAAGAAATAACACAAGGTCACAGCTTGGTTATCATCTGGGCTTAGTGCTCTCCCTTAAGGAATTACCCTTCTGGGCCTGACTTGCACAAGGGGGCTCATTTGAATGCTTCTGCTAGCAGGACACCGCTCTCTTGGAACAGCTACTTTGAGTGTGAATAGTGAATATGCAAGAAGAAAATCAATTCACAAATTGACTTTAAGTAATACAAAGGAACTAATTTAAAGAGTCAGAGCAGTAAAATCAAGAATAATGTCTACCACAATACTGCCAAGTTCAAGCAGCTGGGAGAGTGCTTAAAAGTAGCAGTAAAGGCCTGAACCATGGAAGGGGGCATTTGAGAATGTCAGTTAAAATACCATTAATCTCTATTAAATCTGAAAGCAGTAATATTCTTAGCAAGGGCATCAATTCCACTTAACAAAACTATCATATAACAGGAAACATTAATAAAAACCAACTGGAAGTGAGTATCACAAAATGCTCTGGTAGGGTGGAATTCTCCTAAAGCCTGAAGGTCTGTGGAGGCCCTGAAGCTCACAGAGGAGCCTGGGGCTGCATCAATGAACAGGACGTGGTGAGGCCTCTCTGTGGTGAAGTAAAATTAATCTGTAGGGATCGTATTCGTGCTGGCTTAGGTCATGAAGCAGCAGAACAGTGAAACGTGCACTCCTACAAAAAGAGAGTTGATATCAGCTTGCTCTCAACACCACATCTACAAAAATAAATATCCTGTGTGGTGAGCCACTTCCTAGCACTGACCTACAACTGCCATCACCCGATTAGGACAACCAAAAAAATGGAAGAACAGCATAGCACCAAATGAGCTGCAGTCAGTACCTATGGCACAAGTGAAAGGCTTAACTATAGATATTAATTTATTTTTTCAGTTGTCTCAAAGCATGTGAATCTATAAACAAAACCCTTACACAAAATCTGCTTTTTCTAGCAAATTTTGTTGCCTTTATTAGTAAAAATTAATTTGTTGTTTACACCATAGCTAGAAGCCCTAGCCAATTTAAGCACATGCTCAAATCCTATTGTAATTTTAAAATTAAATAGATACTAACATTCTGCCCTGAACAGGGTTGCTTTGTTGAACAAAAACCGATGCCTTGAACTGACTTAAAAATATAATATGTTTAATAATAAACTTGAATCTCTACTTGTCATACAACTATTCATGGAAGACACACTGAATATACATCATACATACAGCCATACAATATACAAACTTCATACATCCATATCTCAAATGGTGAAGACATGCTAGAAAGAATATTCAAAGTAATGTCAAATATGAGACTTGGCCCTAATTTAATTTCAAATGCTAAAAATCTTAATTGCAATGGCAAACATCTACATAAATACAGTAAATTTTAAGACACATAGACAATAAAGGTCTTTAAAAAGTAAATAGTACAAAAAGTGCAAGGAATCCCAGCAAAGAAACTCTAATGGCAGCTCTCCTATGGCCCAAATTTCATTTGTTAACAAAATGTGCCATCTGAAGTGTAATGATTTCTAAACAACATTACAATAAAATACTTTAAATCACGTTCTGTAGTTCCTAAGAATTTTTTAAAATAAGATTTCTTTTTACCTATACAGAACTTTTCTAAAATGCTTAAGCTTTTATAAAGAAAAAATATATTTTTTTCTTTATAAAAACCTGTTGCTATACAAAATAGATACAAAATACAGCCAGTACCTCCTTACACATATTTCATTGTGGATAATTTAGAACGTAGCATATGATTAATTAGATTACTGAGGTGCTTGATTTTAGTTTTTGGGGATTTTTTAAAGTACAATACGATTTACAGGATTTTTTGTTAACAGCTCGTGTCAGTTAAGAGGAAAATAGTTGTGTTTGCTACAAATTCTATCTTGGACTACTTATTTTCAGTCTTGGTATTTTATTTTTCTTTTAGAATTTTAAACAGATGGCATTTATACACATAATAGCACTGATATTTTATCTTTTCTAGCATGACATAATCAGGTTTTGACTGCTACTGATATTTGGCATATTAGATTTTATTATAAACTCTTACTTATGTTTTGATTTCACTATGGGATCTGTTTTGAAACAGACTGTCATAGAAGGCTAAGGACAGATTTTTTTAAAGAAAGCATTAATCCCAGCAAAACAAATATACTTAACTTGAGTACTTACTTTTATGGACTCTGACTTCTCATTTTTAGTGTTTTATTAAAAATTTGATTGATTTGAGTACTGAGCAAGTGAACCAGTGGAAGAGAGGGCAGCAAGACCTAGGTGAGCCATTTTATTGATGTCAAAAAGGGAAAAAAAACCACTGCAGAACTAAATTCCTTACCTTCTCCTCAATGTTTGCCTCATGATCTTGCATTGTCATGACTCATAATCGCTGCAAGCTATATATTTCCACAAAAAAAGGAAGTACAACCAGGAAATCTGAAAATGTGCTTTCCTTCTCTCTCCTTCCATACTTTTCCTGCCTGCTTTGGATCAGCATGATTTCAGAAAAGGCTTTTTTTATTATTTTTTTGAGAATGGGAGCACAAAGTTTTTGTATCTTTGCTACATACTCTTCGTGCTTCCTTACAATCACCTGGTTCATTTAAGGTTCTTGCTACTGGCAAAGCAAAGAAAACAGTCATCAGAACGTATGGCCATATGTAGCACTGCAGAGCAACACAATCCAAGCAAAAAACTTCTCTACAATTCTCTTCCCTACAAAGAGAACATTTGTAACACATTTGTACACATTCTCTGGATGCCTGAATTGCTTATCTTCTCTGATTAGTTATGTAAAATGGTCTGTTACAGGAATCTCTTCCCAGTACACCCTGTCACCACCTTTTGTTCCTGACCCTATAAAAGTAGTAGACCCATTTATATGATTTAAAGTGTATGTTTCCTTACACCTACATTTTGTAGTTTGGAAACAAATCATCTTAATTCTAACTACAAGAAAAGGGAGTGGCTCCATTGGGAGTTTTGTCTTAGGAAAAATTCTAAGATTAGACCACTTCCAAATAAGTAAAACACTTTGTTCTATTCATACAAATATAATTAAACTCTTACACTTGTTATGAAAAAAAAAATCCTCTGTTACATTATTCTGTAGCTCTGTATTCTCAGACTTAAAAATGGAAAATCCAAGTGAATAAAAATGTTGGTTTTCCTCCTAGTATTCCAAACAGCAAATGTCTTCACATCTCTCTTCAGAGCAACCCACATGCAGCACAGGGTAGCCTGTAGTCCAGTGGAAGTGAAAAGCCCAAATACAGCATTACAGACACACTGCATCCTTGCTTATGACTTTTTCCTGTTAAATCATCCTTTGAACTTAGAAAGCCATCTTACTACATCCCCAGAATAAGTGACCAGCTCTGAAAATAGAGCCATTTTACAAGCAGCATTAGATCAAGCTTGAGACATGACATAAGATGTTTAAAAGATGTATAAAATCACTCCTTTCTACATGAGAGAAAAAGTTTTCAAGTGTCTCATGATCATAGATAGTGATGATTTTATAAAGGGAATACTAAACGTAGGCTAGTAATGCCCACTGAGCTTTAGCCACAGAAATAAACCTATTCACTCAGAAAACGGATTGTCAGCCTGAAGTCTTGAAGAAATGGAAGGAGGGAGAAAATTGCCTGAAAAACTGCTAATTGTCATGAATGCAACACAGTTTGGGGGTTCATTTATTCTTCCTACGATAAAGAAATCTTTGGAATAGCAGATGCAGAGATGAACTTATTGTTAGAGCATCAAGTATGCGATGAAATATCAGGCTGGTGCCTAATTCATGAGGTGGGGTGACAGAAATTGCTCTGAAAACCGGGTAAGAAACCTTACCTAAGCATAACGCAGTAACACCAGCCTGGATGGCTTTAATTAGCTTGACGAGCATCAGCAATTCGCGAATTCTTAGAAAGCCTCACAAGGCACAAAGGCCGCCGAGCACCGCTGGTGTCTGGAGCCCTCAGCGGGCTCCCCGAGCGCTCCCAGCCCCGAATCGATCCCTGTTCCGCTCACGCCCATGTCTGGCTCGGAGCACGGCGCACAGGGGCTCGGGGCGCTGAGGGCAGAGCGCTTCCCGCGCTCCGCTCCCGCTGCCGGGGCTCAGCACCGATCACCGCCCGGCCGGGAGAGCCCCGGCCCCGGCCGCGCCCCGCGCTCCCGGCCGGGCGCCCCGTCCCAGCGCTGTCCAGGGTCCCCGCCGCCCCTCTCCGCGCCCCGGGCGCCGCTCTCTCTCTCGCTCGCTCCCTCCCTGCCTGCCTCCGTCACTCACCATGGCGCGGGGTGCCCGCGGCCGCAGCCCCGCCGAGGGGCTCTGGGCAGGCGCCGCTGCCGCTCCCGGCGCCGCCAAGGTGTATTTGGGGAGCGGGCGCGGCGCGGCGGCGGCGGGGCGCCCCTGCGCGGGCACCGCCGGAGGCTGCGAGCGGGGCGCCGGGGCTGCGAGCGGGGCGCGGGCTCCCCGGTACCCCCGCCCCGCCGGTGCCCCCTCGCCTCGCGGCCCCCACGGGTTAAGGCTTCGAGAAATATCAGTCTGCGCAGCCGGGAGCTCCTGTCTGCGGCTTCCGCGCCAGTAGGAACCCGTGTCACTGGGGGCAAGGCGCTGTGGTTACTGACGTCTTTTCCACACCGCTATCCTTTCATATACCCTTCTGTTCGAAAACGTGTGCTGCCATTTTTGTTTTATTCGCATTTTCTCTACCACGGCTTCTGTTTACTTGTTGCTAGTGATATTCCGTGCAATATGTGATACATACCTTTTTTACTGTAGCCTTGGAGTGCTACTATTTAAGCTCATACCTAAGCAATGAAAGAAGGGAAATGCCTTTCCAGATAAGCACAGAATAAAAGAATCGTTTACACAACATCAGCATATCAGATGGCCAACTTCAATTTAGAGCACAAATTCATAAAACGCTCCTTGTAGAGTTGCCCAGGTCTGAAATTGTGCTCTTAATTCTTGCATGCCACCAGAATGATAAGTTAACAAATTTAAAATCATCACTGAAGCATTTTCATGGTATTTTCACTGGATGGAACCAATGGATAGTTTTTGGCAGCCTAGAAGGATAAATAATTTTGTCGGGCTTGGACAATTAACAGTGACTGAGTTCAGTTACCTTATCAAGTCACATGGAGGAAAACAGAAAATTTCACCAGGAAAAACAGCTGTTGTAAGCTAAAGGATGGGTTTGGAGGAGCAGCATACTACATAGCAAGAGAAGAGGGGTATTATTTCTTGTGGCTCACTGATTGTTGTACCTTAATAAGCTTGTGTGGAAGCAAGTGTCAAAATTAACCAAAACAAAAGTAGCACATTTCCAAGTGGTTTTGAACAGACCAACTTTACGCAAGAGAGGGTATCAAATTTAAGGTGTGAATGTTTTGTTGCCTCCCTCACTGTCAGAACTGAAAGATGGTTTAATAAATATATCTGCTTCACACCATGCTTCCTTGCCTGCCATGTTAAAAGAAGAGAAATCTGTCAGCTAAAGAAGTGATTAATTCCTTCAGCCACCAGTCAGTCAACCGAAAATAATCTGCCAAAACCCAATTTGTTGCCATTTCTGAAGTCATTGACAAGCCATATGAAACTTGTGATAAATAGCATAGGACTGTGTGTATCTCATAAAACTACTGTATTAATAGATAATGCATTGATGCAGTGTTTTGCCTTCAAAAACAAAAATTAATCTCAAGGCAAGGTGTGGTCCTGCTAATGTTTGCCCTCATTTGCAAACTACCCTAACTCTCACTTTTCAGTCTCACTTTTCTTGCCTCAGGGAACCAGACATTTCTGGAAAAAAAAAAAAAAAGAAGTAGAAACAGCTACTGAGCAACTGATATAAGTGAATTACATTATCAGGTTTTTGTACCAAAAGGAGTAAGAGCTTCTGTTGCACAGAGAATTCCTATTCCAGGATGTGCCATGCAGATTTAGATATGATGATGACTGCAGTGTAAACCTGCTGTGGCCAGGGTGACAAAGAGACGCTGGACAAGAACGGCAAATTTTGACATTTGGTGAGGAGCTGAATCATCAGCACAACAAGGTCTCCCATAGTTCTTGGAAAGACACTGTTCATCCCTGTCACTTGTTATGTGTGTACTAACAATAACTTGCAATCTTGCACCAAATAAAACAAAGAACTTGCTTATGAATAGGATTTTTGCAGTGAGTATTTGAAAGAAAAGAACAGTATTTCAAGTTATACTAATTGAAATATTAATACAGGTCAGTGTTCCTTTTACTTTAGTCATTGGAATGTTAGTTCTCCAAAAAAACTTAGATTAGATAAATTTCTTCCATAAGATCCAAAAGATCCTACAAATACCAAAAAAGATATCACGTTTTAATTAAGGAACACTTATGTCACACTTAAAAATGGTAACATTTTCTTAATTTTCTTCTATAAAATAAAGTTCTTTTTTTTTGACCAATAAGATGGAAAGATTGTATTATATGTAATGCTGCTAAGATATATGTGTAATCAAATATAAGGGCATCATAATTCAGAGCATAATTAACACTCCTAAACTGCCATTTACTGGCATCTGCTGTATTTAATTCAAGTTCTCAAATCAGATGTCTTCAAAGAAGCACCTCTCAAATGTATCATCTCCCCCATGGCAACTGAAATTTCTGAAAATACAGAAAGCTGCAGCTCTGTGGTGCTGAGCAGCTGATGGCTCAGCCTGGATGGCTTCAGGCACCAGCACCATGGGGCTGGAGATGCTGGCAGATAACAGAATGGCAGAAAGAATCCTGTTGGAAGTTACCTCTGGACTTGAGCTAATCCTACCCTGCTGCTCAGAGCAGGGTGAGCTAGAACACATTGTTCAGCATGGTCTCCAGCCAAATTTCTAGTGTCTTCAAGGATGAAGACTCCACAACATCTTTAAACATCATGTTGACAACATTCACAGAAAAAAAAAAAGAAGAAAAAAGTTATATTTCCATATTTAAAAGGAATTTCCTGTATTTCAGTTTGTGAAATACACATCCTCCTGTCTTTACACAGGATGCCACTGGGAAGAGTCCAGGTCCCCATTCTTTTCTCTTCCATTAGATATTTATACCTGTGGATAAGATCTCCAGGAGCCTTCCTTTCCTTAGTCTGAACAGTCACAGCTGTGTCCTCCTCTCCTTGTACATCACATGCTGCAGTCCCTTAACCATTTTAGCAGCCTTTGCTGCACTTGTTGCAGTAAGTCCGTGTCTCTTCCTCGTACTGCGGAGCCCAGGCTTAGACCCAGAAATTCAGATGTGCTTTGCCAGTACTGAGTAGAGGGGAAGCATTGCCTCCTGTGACATGCTGGCTGTGCTCTCCCTAATGCAGGCCATATTATGTTTATGGCAGCCCAAAATGATCCTATTTGCATTTATCATTGGCATTAGAAATTGCACTGCTGCAAATGTGCAGTGCTCCAGGTAGAAGTCTGCTTGGCTGTAATGCTCTTTATGTTTTCACTTGTGAAGTCAGTCTGGTCAATCAGAGTCCTCATGGATTCCCTGCCTCAGTTCGCCTCTAATTGGTGGATTATTGAACCCAGGGGTGATGTGACTGCACTGTGCATCTTTTTTCAATGCATAGACAAACTTAATTATTGCCTTAACTATAATGCTTGGCTTTGTAGCTTTGATTCTTTTTATTTTTCTTTTCTGTTTGGGTTTTTCTCTTTTTTTTTTTTGCATCATTCTTCTTTTTTGTAATTGTAATTTCTATCCCACTGTGTAATGATGCATTTTCAGGATTGCCATGTCATGGCATTTGTTGGAGTCTCCCATGAGAAACACATTACCTTTCCACTCCAGCGCAGAGGAGGTTCACACAACACAGAAAGGGGACAGTCACCTAATCCATGGCACTAATAATCAAATCGATTACCTCCTTACACAACAGAAGGTGAGAATTAAGCTTCAGGATGGATAAAAATTTGAAAAACTGAAAAAACTCTGTATCAGTCACTGTGACATTTTCAAGAGCCTTCTAAGATCAATCTAGGTAGCAAAAGGTGTGATGCCAGCTGAAGAGATAATTTAGTCTTGTACTATCTAAAAAACTGAACTGAGATTAATTGTGGAGTTTTGATATCTCTGCCACCTGGTTAACATTCTCTTATTGGTTCTTGTTTTAGGAAGTTGAAAACATTGTGGAAGACGTATTACCACTGATATGCCTAAAGACATCTTACCAAATTACATCAAATTCAGAAGAGGTTTCAGTGATTTATCCACACCTAACTCAATATGTCCCTTTCTGGACAATGTTAAATTCTCACAGTTAGAAATCACTCTTAAGGCTCATAAATTCCTACTTCAGGAATGTGTCTCATACTGTTTGAAAATACATCAAAAGGGTACCAATGTTAGGTGTTTTACCTTCAGTCTTTTTCACTGAAAGACTCCCTTTTCAAATAGTACCTGTCATTTTCTCACAGTTATTCAGTCATGATTAGTCAGATCTGAGTATTTATCAGGATTTAATATCTATATTTTCAGAAAGTTTTGCACAGTTTCGAGTCTGCCTTGAAGAAGGGTATTTTCATTGAATTAATAAAAGCACAAGTTCTGTCTTCTTCCATGGACTTCATACACCTGCAAGCAAGCTGTCCTGGAACACAAAGTTTCTGAGGATAAAAAGGATTTTTGTTTCTGTCACAAGTTTTCTTGGTAAACTGCTGTTTCCTGGAGGGCAGATTAGATTTACTATGTGTGCTCTAACAGTATGACTGTATCACAGTACTTCTGTGTACAGAAATACAATTTTATGAAGTTCTCGCAGTAAATTAGCATGGAGAGTCACAGGGATGTTACAAAAGTTGTAACAGCAGTGACAGATAAATAGGATTCTAGGTTTTAATTTTCATTGGAAGACAGAGACAGTCAGACTTCCTAAGAAAACATCTTCCAGCTGGATTTGCTTTCTTGCCCAGCATTCTTATTTTTAGTTGAAAGATGGGTATAATGTTTGTAGTGATCGAGTATTAACACCTCTTTTTGGGAAAGGAAGCAGTGATATTTGGCCAGATGATAAAATTATTTCATTTATGAAGTCATTTTAAGGAAACTAGCAATTTTAAATACAAGTTCCACCTTGGGTAATTGAAAAAAATCTTTGCATCCTCCTCTAACTTAAATTGTTATGGCATCCTTCCTGTCCTCAGTGAGTTGTTATGAAATCTTTGTCCTGTGTTGTACTAAACATTGGCTATGCTTATGATGTATGATCCTGAATAACTTTTCAGTTCCCTGCTGCAGGTGCATGGCCTGGCAACACCCTGACTTTGTCGTGGACGAGCTCTGCAAATGGATTCTTTCCCACTGTGGCTTGATTTCCATTAAAGGAAGCCTAGGCAGGCAGGCAGGCAGGCTGGCAGCAGGAAAGCA